CTAAAACTTTTTGAATTACTTCTAAATACTAAAATCCTTAATTCTTAATACTAAAATACTTAATTCTTAATACTAAAAACTTATGAATTATGTATATTGTAAATACTAATTTCAAAACGCAGTCACTTGTAAAATTTAAGACATTGATACACATTCTGCATTTCTTAAAGTTAAGAAAATTGTGATTTTTATTGACAAAAAGAAGTTTGTTGTTATATACATTGCTTTTTGAAAAAGATTGTTTCTTTTCAGTATTTTAGAACAAACTTCTTTTTTTTTTTGTTGCAAAGCTACTGAACACAACTATGAATTTTAATAATGAAATCAAATAGAAAATGAAAACAGTAAATTTGTAACACACAATGAATGATGACTGAGATTAACTTCTTTCTTATCGTGAAATTAATCTAACATCCTTCTACTTAGATTACAATATACATAACATATAATAACAACATCAAGCACAACTTTGTCTCTACTTAGATTCTAATACAAAAGTATGATGTAAATTGTAAGAATACATGAATAAAAAGAAAATGGAATAAAATGAAAAATTAATGAAAACATTTTACATCGGGAAGCACATATGACTGATCTAAAAAAATCTCACTTCTTCAACTATTCGTATTTCCTAAATGCTTCTTCTTTTGGTATTTGTCTCTGTATTTTGAAATGTTTCAAACACTGAAAATTCATTGTCGTAATTCCATGAAGGTTCTACTAAACATTCTACTAAACACTTCAAACTTAACTGCAAATTCATATTTGTTTGCTCATTGAAATTCAGCGTCATATTTTGTTCTTCATCTTCGGGTAATTCTACCGGTGATGTTTGTGTAATACTAAGTGAAGACATTTGTCTTTTTAGATCAATCATTAGTGCTTCCTCATTTGTTATTTGTGCTTCTGGATATGCCACTGAATGTAACATTTGTATTTCCTGTACTATCGCTTCTGGGTTTACCTCTTGTACATTTGGTTGACTATTCAATTGCTTTAACTGCTCCTCTGTTGGTTGAGTGATATGTAATTGTTCATTTTTAATACAACATCCATTTTCTTCTG